TATATGTATATGTATATGTATATGTATATGTAATGTATAGCTGTGCATAAGAATGAGATAAAGAGAAATTAGTATACAGCCAAGGAGTAAAATGGTAAGGGCAGGTAAATCTGGGATGAGAAATGGAGGGGAATTCATTGAACTGTTTTTATTTATTGCGATAACTCTCAGCAGTGGGTGGTGCGTGTAACCCAACCTGCCAGGCCACAGCAAGAGCACTAGTGAGCCAGGCAGCGAGGGCGCCCTCCCACCTCCAATCCCCCTTCACACAGTTCCTTTCACCCTCTTCCAAGTTTCCTGCCCTCCCTCTCCCCTCAATTCTCCTCCATGGTCCTTCCTTCCCCTTCTTCATTCTCCGCCACCACTCTACTCTGCTCTTGCCTCCAACTGCCCTCCCTGCCCCTTTCACCCCCTTCCCATCCCCTCATTCTTCTACACTAAACTCCTGCCCACGACCCCCATGGGATGTACCCTCGATGACGCTACATCGTGTCATCAGCGTAGCCCCTATGACCTCACAGAGAGGATCCCCTCCTGTCGCTGGGTCCTGATGTGGGCGGCAGAGGCGAGCGGCAGGGGCAGGCGGCCCGGGGCAGGAGCAGCGGTGTCACCAGGCAGCTGTGTCTCCGGGCAGCGCGACATCCGGGCAGCGGGGCCTCGGAGCGGCGGAGTCTCCAGCTCAGGACAACTCAGAGGTGGCGTCGGCAGCCACCACGGGCCACTGGTGTCCAGTAGCCCAGCAGGTCCAGTTGAGCTCCCAAATATCCCCTACTTTAGTCCTCCTCTCCGCCACCGCCCCCTTCCACCAACACCCCCCTCTACTCCAGTGGCCGCTCTCCGCCCAACCACCAGCGGATGCATCAATCGCCTCTCCCCCAACCCCTTGATCTCTAGCACAGCCTTATACCTGTCGCCAGACTCTAGGACAAGAATTGGCCACATGTCGCAGACGATGGCCCTAAAGCGCATCTACAAGGAGTTCCTTGACCTTTCTCGTGACCTCCCTGCCCAGTGCTCTGCAGGACCAGTGGGAGAGGACATGTTCAACTGGCAGGCTACTATAAAGGGGCCCAACGACAGCCCCTACCAGGACGGGATCTTCTTCCTAAAGATCCAATTTCCATTCAATTACCCCTTAAAACCACCCAAGATCACATTCACCACCCGAATTTACCACCCGAACATTGATAGAAATGGAAACATCTGTCTGGACATCCTTAGATCCCAGTGGTCACCGGCACTGACCATTTCTCAGCTATTGTTATCCATATACACCATGTTGTGTGACCCCAACCCAGAAGATGCTTTGGTTCCAAAAATTGCGAAGGTCTACATAAAGAATAGGCAGAAGTATGACAGAAGAGCACGAGCGTGGACTCATAAATATGCCACGTAATATAATGTCATCACCTTAATAAAGATGGCATTTCAATTGATAGTCTTTAATCTGTGAAGTGATGTTTTCCCATCTTCCTGGGCACACATTGTATACCTTCCATATCAAAGTGTGTGTGGAAAGGTTAGAAGGAATGTGGGGTGAGAGAGGTGGGGTGAGGCAAGGTTGGGGGATGAGTGAGTATGAGACAGATCAGTTTTAATCTAGTTTTTACTAAAAGCTTTCTTTACTGATTTAGGACTATTAAAGCAATAACAATGGTGTGGTAGCTTTAGGATGAGGAGAGCAGTTTCACAAACCAGTGGGATAATTTTTAATATGGGGTCATTTAGAACTGACAATGGTGAGGAAAAACTGGGTGATTACAAAGCTAGTTTTGTATTCACTTAATTATGAAGAACTTGTCTTCAGGTGTTTTGGTTTGGCTTGGTTTGGTTTTGACCAAGATTAATATTAACCTGTATCCTCTATTTTGAGGTCCAGGTTTAACTGGCCAAAAATTAAATGGATTAGGAGGTCTTACAAAATAAAATGATATGTTTTGTTCCCAGACTTCTTCACCTCCCATGACTTCAATCCTCACTTTTTGACCACTCTGCCTCTCTCCCACACTCTGGATTGGAGGCTGCTTCTCAGGGCATACCTACTAGCTCTAATTTGTCTTATTTTTTTCAAGAACTGTGTAAGGAATGAGATTTCACCTAACCTGCAAGCCTACATGTGAGGCTGTCAGTTTCATGGAGGCTGGAGGAATGACACAGACTCCTGAATTAGAGATATGACTTTATTAGTCATGGCCCAGCAAGCAGCATGAGCTTCACTGATAAAGTACCCCTGGCTCCCAAGACCCAAGGGAGAGATGTGGAACAGTCCACTTGGGTACAGTGGGTTTGTGTCAAGCTGAGCAACCACAATCTTAGGAACCTCCTTAACTTTGAAAGGGAAGTTGAGCAAACCTGACCAACCTTTGCCCCAGAGAGAGATGTTATTTATATCACCCTGCTCAAGAAACAAACCCATCCTCTGCCCTGGAGAGAGCTCTATCTTCAAAGGCAGTTTGCTATACAAACGTCCCTCAAACAATAGTCTCAGACAAATGCTGTCACAAGATGTGTAGAAACACCATGGAGAATGCACTCCAACAGTCTGAATACCTTGGATCTATCTGGTCAAAAAGATAAAATTTAATTCTATGAAAATATTTGTGTGTATTGAAAAAAATGCAATTTCCCTTTAAATTTGTACATTCAAGAATGTCTAATCAGTGTAATAAGCAGTTTATTAACATCAATACCTTTAAAAACTTTATAATCTATTATTTTTAAAGAACAAAAAAGATAATTCTAAATAAAAACATGAAAACATCACTAACTTAAGATTTCTAAAGTATTTATATAAATAAGTCTACAAATATACAGAAAAATTTTATTTCTACGCCAAAGATACTAACCCCTCAAATATAAAAATTTATTTACTTTTGCAGTCAGTGCTTGCCAGTATCCACTAGACAATGTAGCTATTGATGATTTTTTTAATTTTGTTCAATTTTAATTAATTTTAAATTAAAATTAAGTAAATTTATTGAATTGAAATAGAGATATATGGTCAGTGGCTATTGTATTATAAAATTGGAGCTAAAAGTTGGACATTTGTATAAGTGTTTGATTTTAGTATAATTCAGAGAGTCAATAACATAGTTGATAATGTACCGGAGGCAGAAGAATTTATCATGGGACTTACCAGGACTGAGCTGAGACTCAAAAAGCAGAGAAAACATGGAATGAAAGTAGTAGGAATATTTTTTCTTTTCTTTTTCTTTTTTTCCTCTAATGATGGATTTAATTTTTATGACCAAAGGCAGTGTTGAAAAACCATGGGTGTTTGAAGCAAAAACCTGTGTTCTAATCCAGGCTCCACCAGTAAATGCTTGTATGACTCTAAGAAAGTTACTTAACACCGATGAGCCTAAGTTTTCTCAAGTAGTAAATGAGAATATTATCTATAATACTTCCTAGAGTTTTAAAAATAAGATGATGTGTGAAAAAAATCTAGTCTGCACCAATGAATATATATTCAATAATGGGAGTTATAGCTATTATTTTTCCTCATTATATGTATTCTTTTCAGATAAACTTGTGCTGGGCTGCCAGTAAAATGGTTTGATTGGCCAAATCTATATTTTTGACACTCTTAGGATCACTGCAGGAGAAGATAGGGAATATGAGAATCTGAATTAAATTAACTTGGCACTTCATGAAAGGCCACATTAACAATGATGTCACACAAAGTATCTCTCCAATTTTTTTTAGAAATACAAACTTTAGAATATGTGAAAATCAATGTGAAGCCTGGTTGAAATGCAGATTTCTGAGTCCCATCTCTAGAAGGGCCCAGTAATCTGCATTTACAATTATCAAAAATGATTTTAAAGCAGGTGGAAAATGAGCTCCCTCTGATAGAAAGTGTATTTCATTGCACTTCTTTTTAAAATTTATTTTTAATTACAGTTGGCATATGATATTATATTAGTTTTAGGTATACAATGTAGTGATTAGAGATTTATATTACTTACAAAGTGATTACCCTTATAAATCTAGTACCCATCTAACACCATGCATAGTTATTACAATATTATTGACTATATTCCTCGGGCTATACTTTACATCTTCATGACTATTTTGTAACTACCAATTTGTACTACTTAATCGCTTCTCCTTTTTCAGTTACCCCCCAAAACCCCATCCCATCTGACAACCATAAAAATGTTCTCTTTATCTATGAGTTTGTTTCTGTTTTGTGTTTCTTTTGTTCTTTAGTTTCCAACTATAAGTGAAATCATACAGCATTTGTCTTTATCTGACTTATTCCGCCAAGCACAATACCCTCTAGGTCCATCTATGTTGTTGCAGATGGCAAGATTTCATCCTATTTTTATGGCTGAGTAATATTCCACTTTTTATATGTACCACCTCTTCTTTATCCATTATTCTACTGATGGATACCCAGGTATCCTCCATATCTTGACTATGGTAAATAATGCTTCAATGAGCATATAGAGTCACATGTCCCTTTGAAGTAGCGTTTAGGGTTTCTTTGGGTAAATATCTAGAAGTGGGATTACTGGGTCATTTTTGTGTCTTGCTAAAGCTTTTATTTTAAAGCCTGTTTTGTCTGGCACAATTATTGCTACCCCAGCTTTCCCATTTGTTTGTTTCCACTTTTATAAAACATCTTTTTCTATCACTTTATTTTCAGTCTATGTCTCTTTCAATCTGAATTGAGTTTCTTGTAGGCAGCATATATAACGGTCTTATTTCCTTATCCATTCAGCTATCCTTTCTTTTGATTATAGCATTTAATTTGCTTACATTTAAAGTAATTGTTGATAGACATGTAGTTAATGCCATTTTATTATTCATATTTTTAATCTCTTTTTCTTTTTTCTTCTTATTAAAAAAGTCCCTCCAACATTTCTGGTAATGCTAGCTTGGCAATGATAAACTCCTTCAGCTTTTTCTTGTCTGGGAAGTTCTTTATCTGTCTTTTGATGCTAAATAATTGCTTTGCTAGGTAAAATAATTTTGGTTATAGTTCCTTCCTTTTCATCATTTTGACTACTTTCTGGCAATCCCTTCAGGCCTATAAAGTTTCTATTAAGAAATCAGCTGACAGTCTTATGGGAAGTCCCTTGTAGGTAACTGACTACTTTTCTCTTGCTTTTAAGAGTCTCTCTATGTCTTTAACCTTTGGCATTTTAATGACAATGCGTCTTGGTGTGGATCTCTTTGGGTTCATCTTGTTTGGGACTCTCTGCACTTCCTGGGCTTGTATTTCCTTCACCAGGTTTGGAAAAGTTTTTCACCATTATTTCTTCAAATAGATTTTTAACTCCTTGCTCTCTCTCTTCTCCTTCTGGTAGCCATATGATGTGAATATTGGTGTGCTTGATGTTTCAGAGGTCCCTTAAACTATCTTTATATTTTGGATTGTTTTTTTCTTCTCTCTGTTCTGATTATATCTTTTCTGCTACCTTATCTTCTAAATCGCTGACTCAGCCCTCTTCTTCATCTAGTCTACTGTTGATTTCTCCTAAGCTATTCTTCATTTCAGTTATTGTATTCTTCATTTCTGACTGGTCCTTTTTTGTTTGTATATCTATTTTTTACATTTCCTATCTCTTTGTTAAAATTCTCACTGAGTTCATCTACTCTTTCTCTAAGTTTATCGAGCATCGTTATAATCAGTATTTTGAACTCTGCATTTGGTAGATCACTTGCTTGTCTCCATTTTGTTTAGTTTTTTTTCTGGAGTGTGTTCTGTTTGTTGTTGTTGTTGTTTTGTTTTGTTTTTGTTTTTGTTTTGGCGTAGGGGGAATGTTTCATCGTCTCCTCGTTTTGGCTGCCTCCCTGTCTTAGTTTCTATGTATTAGGTAGAGCATCTATGGCTCCTGGTCTTAGTAGAGTGGGTTATATAGTAGGTGGCCTGTGAGGCCCAGTGGCGCAGTCTCCCTGATCCCCCTGAGCTGGGTGTTCCAGGTGTGTCCCTTGTGTGTGTGTTGTATGTGTCCTCTTCTTGTAGTTGAGCTGTGGTTACTGTTTGCATGTCAATGAGAGGGATTAATCCTCAGGTTGATAGATTATGAGGACTGGCCATGACCAGTGGAAGACCTGTTGTGTGTGAGGTGACCCTATGGAGAAAGATTAGCTTTAGCAGGGCTCTGGTGCCTCCTCAATCTTCCCTTTGAGTGTGTCATTCTTGGATGTGTCCCCAGGTGGTGCTCAGCTCAGACTGAAGCTGGCTACTGGGTGCAGAGGTTGGGGTCTCCTTGGAGGGACCCCACCACAGGCCAAGTTCACCTGCAGCCTGTGCCCTGCCCAGGGCCACCTGGCATAAGCCACCAAGCAATTCACTAATGGCTACCACTGATACTGGGCTTGGAAGTGCTTCAAGAGGCCAAGCCACAAATTGAAGCCAGCTGCCACTAGCACTGGGCTTGCGGC